AGCTTTGGGCTGATTTACATTTGCATAATGAAGTCAATAACACTGGCCTCCTGGGAGGGAGCATGGTGACATTATTACTAATTTAATAAGAAGCATTGAGTGTGTGTGTGTGTGTGTGTGTGTGTGTGTGTGTGTGTGTGTGTGTGTGTGTGTTCGGGAAGAGAGAGGAACAAAGATGGCATGGGGAAGCGTGAGGTAGATAGATAGATTGAGATAGATAAGTGCAGGAGGTGAAAAGAGAGAGGCAGATGGAAATGAAGGAAGACTTTTCAGGTATGGATGGTATGGAGCGGGGAGGGGAGTAGTGTAACTAGAACAGGTTGAAAGGAAAGGAAAGGAGGACAGATGAAAAGGAGAGCAAGGACAAGGCAGAGAGAGATAGAGATGACCAATAGGTGAGGGTGAAAGGAGGACACCAAGTTAGAAAGGCAGAGAGAATTGTGAAGGGAGGAAGGGAAGGTGAGAGTAGAGAGAATGAAAACAGGGAAACATGTGGGTAGGTGAAAGAGTGAGTAAGTAATGAAGAAGAGTGTTATGGAGATGCAGAGATGTATGGTTGATGTATGACTGTTCTTCACTTCTGTTCACAGACTCAATGTCCTCGCTGTCCTGTGCTGGTGAAAAGGCCTGCAGGTGTCAGCAAGTCCCGAAACAGGTAGCTGTAGCCCTGCGGCAGCATTACTAACAGACCACACAGAGACAGCCTGTGGACCCAAAATACATTTACAGTTGAAAGTCATGCAGCAATTACATACTTTTAGTCTTTTACAGCCTACGTCGATACAGTACAATGACAGGTTGTCACACACATTTTGTGTTAAAAGGGTTTTGCGTCAGTGTGGAGATTCTCAGTATACTGGCTAAAAGACACTCAAATATTATTAAAGTATATGTGAGATGACTTTTGTTGAAAATGTCCTTAAAATGCAACAACTGATTTTCTAGCCACTTGTTGGGCAGTAGAAATGAGCTATGAACACAAAACTGACGTACTACCACTTACAGTTGCTTATTTACACATCCAGCAAGCACGGAGCAACATTAGTTTTCATTTAGAGTTGTGTTTCTGGCCGCCTTCCAGATTTACAGTATCTCACAAAAGTGAGCACACCCCTCACATGTGTGTAAATATTTGATTATATATTTTCATGAGACAACACTGCAGAAATGACACCTTGCTACAATGTAAAGTAGTGAGTGTACAGCTTGTATAACAGTGTAAATTTACTGTCCCCTCAAAATAACTCATCACACAGCCATTAATGTCTAAACCACTGGCAACAAAAGTGAGTACACCCCTAAGTAAAATGTCCAAATTGGGCCCAAAGCATCAATATTTTATGTGGCCACCATTATTTTCCAGCACTGCCTTAACCCTCTTGGGCATGGAGTTCACCAGAGCTTCACTGGTTGCCACTGGAGTCCTCTTCCACTCCTCCATGACGACATCACAGAGCTGGAGGATGTTACAGACCATCAGCTTTACCCTCAGCTTCTTTAGCAAGGCAGTGGTCGTCTTGGAGGTGTGTTTGGGGTTGTTATCATGTTGGAATACTGCCCTGCGGCCCAGATTCCGAAGGGAGGGGATCATACTGGAGACGATGACGCCTCATCGTGGAGCTTACCTGTAGGATATCACATATTTTTGATCAATTCCAACAGATAAAAAATGATAGCTATACCAAATTTATTCCCTTGTTCTCGTGTCACTGTGAAATAGATGGCTGTAAACATGCACTTATTACACTTATTGCCTCTTCTGTCTTCTTGCATTTTCAGGTACAAGAAAAACAATAGGAAGGTCAGACAGAAGGTCAGACAGATGTAAACGTGTGTTGGTGGACCATGGGTGTCTGAAGCCTTGAAGTAAGCCTAAGTAGGCAATTCAATTGCTTTATTATTAATGTCATTATTTCATATGTGATTTTCTTCCTAAAACAGGTGAAAATATGAGCCTTTATAATGACCTACAAAAGGCAAACCAAATATTGAGAGATTTGTATAAATTGGAAAATCTAAATAGATAATAATGATGAGAAGTATCATTTGGTTGAAAATTTGCTTTTAGTCAGTTTTAATAAATGATTACAGGATAGGATATTTCGCCAATAAAGTCTGTTAAAAGAGCAAAAACCAACCGCATTTGATCCGACTAATAAGTATGTGTAGCCAAACGCTGATATGTCTTATTCCTACATTGTTTTCCAAAAACATTTATAAACAGATCAATGATTCCCACTGTTTCACTGGGTGACATGTCCACATGTAATTTTAACAAACATGGGCACTGTTTATTTTGAGCAATTTACACAGACACCATCCTGCTGCCATACATTTATACTAGAGCACTAAATGTGTATTAATCCACAGCTGACAGTAGTCCATAACAAATCAACCAAACCATGAACTCCTGTTACATGTTAAATGAAACTATATGTGACTACTACTGGCCTCTATGTGGATTTGTGGACAATAAGAAAAATATAGAAAAACACCAGCTTCATTCTTATTCGATCGGCAAAGTTATTTATTTATATAGCCCATTTCAATTTTGCATTGATGGATATAATGTCTTTCTTTGCATCAGTGGCACATCAAAGTACTTTACAAATTGCAAAAACAGGATAAGAAAGATTAAATAAAAAGAGATAAAACGTAAATGAAGCGGGAACAAAAGTTCAATTATTAACTGCAGTGAAACAGGAAGTTTTAAATTTCAATTTGAACATTGACAGTTGCATAAATGTAGTTTCTCTGTACCTTGTGTAGACCCTGCATAGTAAGAGGCCACAGGCTTAAGTCAGTAGCTGTATTTTAAATTTGATTCTCTGACTAACTTACTAACAAAAGAGCTTTTAGTGGACTCTCTTTCCATTGGATACGACAGTAATTGGAGTGTTAAAGGTATGACTTGAGGTCATACTGTACTGGTAGTGAGAGATATGTACAAGGGCCTGTGTAACACTAGAAACTTAAAGCTCAACCATGCTGAAAGGCATGAAGGAAGTAGGAAGTTGCAGACACATAATGCAGAACCTTAGGGGTTTGGGTCTACATGAGAAGTGGTGCTGGAGGTGATAGCACGCTTTGTCCCTGAGAAAGAAAAGAGCCAAAAAATATTGCTCAGTTTGGAGTGTGATTTTTCTTTGTGTTGTCTCTTCAATATCTTGAGTTACAGCTGGAAGGAATGTATCAATGTATCCCTCTGTCAAACAAACACACTCACGCAGCACGCAGTGAACTGTAATGCAGACGTGAGCGTTGTTCTTGTTGATTGCTGTTAGTTTCATCAGAATTACTTTGGATGGTTGGTTTCATCAGAACATCTCTCATGGGTGTGTGCATTTGTGTGTGTGCATGCAGCAGTTATCAGACAAAAAATAAAGGAAATGACAGATAAATAACTAAAAACTAAGACTAAAAATTACAATGAGGCCAACAGTAAACATTTATGAGAGCTGAGCTGAAATGGAGCCATGTAATCAGTACCTGATTTGAGGCTGAATTTACATTAGAGCAACTGGAAACTGTGTGGCTGTCTGTCTTTGTTAGTTTGTCTTTCTACAGGGCTGATATATATACTGTTTTGGAATGTGAATTGTTGTGTTGTTTTATGTTGATTTTGTGTAATGACTGGGAAGTTTTATGATTTAACTAGCTAAAAGGTTTCTTCGAGGTAGGTAGTGAGAATGAGAAAATATGCCATGGCATGAAAAACATGTAGTTAAAAACTGAAAAGGATCTCGTTTACATTAAACATAAAACTGAGCTGCAACACGCTGCTTTAGAGCATCACACGTTACCAAATTATATTATTTTATTAACATATTAAGACTTAAATTAGGGTACACATCTTATATTCTTCATCCTTTGCCTCTTTGAGTTATTGATGGTGAAATGACTTGAACCAATTCAGTGGTGTAATGTTATTTAGAGATATGGGGGTATTATTTCGTAAGTCAAGGGAAAGGCCCAAAGTTAAAATTAACAATGTTGGGGAGGGTGTTGCTTTTTTAAAAAGTAAAATGGTCAACCCCCTCCCCACCCCAATCATTTTCATACAGTCCCTAGCGTTTTCTCTCGTATGGTCTTAAGATAGGACATGAATTTTGTGTGTATGTGTTGTGTCCCCCCCCCCCAGCCCTCTGTGCGCCCTACATATAAAGCAGCCCAGTCCAATGTTAACACCAGCTGCTCTCTGTATCTCTAATTATAGCCTCTGCAGTGCAGGCTCCCAGGGCAAGACTGGGGGTCAGGTTACTCCTTCCCACTGCTCTCTCGCACAGACACACACACCCTCGTTTAAACTGGGACTCAAAAACAGGTTCTGATGGGGCTTAAGAACTCACATGGGGCTCAGCTAGATATTTATTCACTTATTTACTCTTCCGTTTGACCTCTATTTTACAAGGTGGGGCGCTCAGGAGGAAACATGTTTCCCCTGGAGGAAGTGCAAGAGTGGTAAGGAGATTTGGAAGTTTAAAGCCCTTTATTTTTTAAGTTGTTGTCAAGGGTTGGCAGTGAATCCATCTCCTGTTGTGTTAAAACTACTTACTGGTGCTGTGGACCCATCAATCACTGAATACTGTGAAATCATATTAAAACAGACAATAACAAAATCAGTGATAGTAGTACTTCATTCACTTTACAGGTGTAGGGGAATTGCCTTGGTATTTTGCAGTGAACAGGTCAGTATAGTGCAGAAGCGAAAACACAGGTGTAACATCAGGTGTTAGCTGCCTCTGGCTGCCTCCATCATTATAACTTGATTAATAAGCTCCGTGTTTCCGAGACACATACCACAGGAGGACTTTCAGTCCTTCATCTCTTCGCTTCATTCCTCCTCTTTCGTTCACTTCTCCATCCCTTGATCTTCTGCTCCTATGCATCCTGTTTTCTCCCTCTCCTCTCTCTCTCTTCACTCCTCCCATCCCTCTGAAATCTCCCCTTCCATCTCTCCCTCCCTCCACCTCCGCTATCTCTCTATTTTGGACCCTCAGAGGGGGGCAGGGTGACTCTCAGTAGGTCAACCCCTTCCCTTTTGCTTCTCGTTCGTCTCACTCTCTTCCAGCATTTAACCAGCTAGAAACTCAATCTCAGAAACTTTAACTCAAGAATTTCTTGGACACAAATGGAAACCTAAAAGAGGCACTTCGAAATTAACAGGACCAATACAAAAAAAACAAAAAAACAACAAAGAATAGTTCACTGGATTTCCTTCCATTTTCTCCTGTGGGGAAGGTCTTGGGGTATTTTTAGACCTGCAGTGATCCAGCTTAACACAATTGCTGGGCGCTTTTTGCTGCTGGATTTGAGTGTTGCCTCCATCGTCTTTTTCTCACAATCAACTGGGGCCAAAGAGGATTTAACGAAGGAGTTACATGCGTGTTTCTATGGTAACAGTACATTTTCCCGAGCCTTTAAAGGACTGAAGGTTATCACTGAACATCCAGCAAAATCAAAGTCCAAGGTACTGTGAAAATCCATTTCACTCTGGCTGAACTTTATAATAATGATCTGATACTGACGTTACTGAATGCTGGAGGTCCATGCACAGTCCACGCAGTTATTCTTCTACTAAAGGTTAGCTGCTACTAATGATATGCTGACAAACTTTATAAGGTGGAGAGCTGACACTTAAATGATGTTTAGGGAATTTTGATGTTATGGTCGAATAAGCAAAAATAATGACCATGCGTGTTGTAATCTATAGTCCACGTAAACTACAGTGTGAGCTATTAATATGTCATTTCCTCCAATGGGGTTTGAAGTGTGCTGTATAAATTACTTTACATACATTAAATTATCTTTCCATTTTGGATTTAAAAGATAATAATGGCTAAATACCACACTGTGGCTTGTTACATCAAATATATGACTACAACATTTTTCCAGATCCTTGAGTCTGGAACTCACAATTCACTCTTGATTCTCCTACGCACCTGTTAAACCAGTAGTTCCAAACCTGTTTGGCTTGTGACCCCTTAAAATGAAGCTACACGTACAGTACTTGTGCCCCCTTAATGCTGATTAGGGCCTCATCTGAGTGGCTTAACAAAAGAGTATTTGTTTCAAGTGAGGGTTGAAAGTATTCAGTATTTCATGAGAAACAAAGACGATATATTTTCTGTCTTTTCCTTTACACATCTGGGATCTCCCAGATGTGTCAAGGGAGATCCCTTCAGAACAACTGCGCTAGAAAATATTTGCTTTGTATGTTGAAATGCTCAATAACCTTATACCCCCTTCCCTCTTCATGTAATTGCTAAAATGTAACCAAGAGGAATGATTGACATGTAAATCACTGCTTTCATTATCCGTGCACATAAGCTACATTTAAAATATAATGAGGTTTTGAGAAAGGAATTATTTTATCAGCTTATTCTTATTACAAACGTAGCATCAGATCATTTTACCTCTTTGGGTCAGATATTTCAGTGATCTGAAACATTTATACAGGACATCACTCTATGATTCACAACTTCTAGACATTTGAAACATGACAAGGTGCCCCAACTAGACACGACTCCTTTGTTGTTAAGTTGGGAATCACTGGTTTAATCTATATCAATGTGTTGTATTTTATGAGCTTACTTACGGTAACTCGTCAGCTGTCATATAAATGTCGAGGAGTAAAAAGTGCAATATGTTCTGCTGAAATGTAGCACAATAGAAGTGGAATATGTCAACTCGTGACACTCAACCTGTGGCACTGATAGGCTAATCCCCCCAAAGATTACTTCATAAGCAGTTTGTCATAAAGTTTGCAACAAGTGACTCAACACCTATGTCGCCTTTCATTTGCCCTCAAATAGTGATAGTCGCCTGCACGCACATTGTTGTTCATTCCTTTGGTGTGGAGGCGGCAGCAGCAGTTGGTGTGCTTCTTTGTGTGTGTGTGGGTGTAAAAATCAGCTCAGCATTTGGTGGTAACAACAGGTGGGCTGGGTCATCTGGTTTTGAGAAGAGGACAGACCAACGTGATATCAAATAGCATGCCGGACATTCATGTCTATGCATAAAGCTTTTCGCGTTACAGAAGGCACATTTCATGAGTTTTGAATGTGCATGAAAGGACAAAGTAAGGTGACCTTCGTCATCATGGTAACAATAGTGATGTGACCTTCATCGTCATAGTCAAGTGACCTAATGGTATCAATAATAAACAGTCACTGTGAAATGGTCGCAGTTTGCTCAGGTTTTGGCACCAAAACTACTATGTTAGATTTAGGAAAAGATCGTGGTTCGGGTTAAAATAAGTATGTTAGTTAAAGCAAATCAGTTAAGTTATGTTAAGTGATGTAAGTTACAGGCTTTTGCGTGTTGCTGTTTGGACAATATGTATTGAGAAATGCACATACTGTTTTGCAAATGTTAAGGATGATTTGAGAAATGTACCAAAGCGTCTGAGAAAAACTGTAAATACATTGCATAAGTCAAGATCTTGAATCTTGAACACTGACTTTTGGTTTCACACCAGCCATGAACACTGCTCTCGTGGGTTAGGGTCAGTTCAGGACCCGACCTCGTCCCTAGGTGGGCTTATATTATATATTCTTTATATATGAATTTCTTTCTCTATGACATTTGTGCGGAAAATGACACGCCGTCTCTGCACAATATAAGTCAGTACAGACTATGTGGTGTGAAATGACCCAAGACATTGGCTTGTTATTCATACACCATTTGGTGATACCAGGCTGGACAGACACATACGTAACATAAAGGAAAAATGTTTTTAGACTGGGGCTCACACTTTGACAGAAACTAAAAGATGGGCTAGATAAGAGAACTATACTGTAGAAGAACGGTGAAGTAGATACCTGTATCTGCTGTAGGATATTTAGCCTTTGCTCCAACATTGTGTCGTTGTAATATTGTGACTGTTTTACCTGCTGTGGATCAATATGTTGGCCTGACCAGCCGTTGTCAGGGCTTCACTAGATCAATGGTCAGCTTTTATATCTCTCACACACACGCACAGGTCCACACACAAGCACTCTCAGCTCTACTTCTGAAATGGCACAAACGCCAGCTACTGTTCACCAGATCAATGTTTGGCTTTCTCGAATCGGACGCACACAGAAACGCACATTTGAGTGTGCGTGGGCAGAATTACGTTTAATTGATTTTGTAGTTTGCTATCTGACTGCAGCAACAGAAAGGTCAGCCCGAGACTTGCTACTGATTCAAAACATTTCAATTTTTCAAATTATACAATCATCCTGGACATATATACATTGTACAATAGACAGATAGATAGATAGATATGATGGGTTGGAGTGCACATGCTACATAATAGGCTATAAAAGGCCATTTCACTCAAGTGATTGGATTTAACTCACAAGTAGAAGTATATATAGAGAGAAAATTTTACCTTGAGGTACATATATGATATATTGAGGAGACAGGGGATCTGTACACTAAGCTTCTACTAATTGACAGTGATGATGAGAACCACTGGAGTACAAACCGCCACCTAAGTGTGTCAACGAGACTGTCATAATGAATGGTGTTAAATGCCGGACCAGCGCAGCATCCTTCAGGGCCTCATTAATAACCTTGAGAAGGGCGTAGTTCTTCCAAATGAGTCAGTCCTATTTTAATTCACATCTCCACCACAGTGTAACTATCACTTTACATTTGCAGATAAGCTGTGTGAGAGGCAGGCAGAGAAACAGAGGGGAAAAATAAATCATCTCAGGCGTTCATCGCAGCACGCCACATAATGAACACAAACAACCTAACGCGGGCGCGTAATCATGTTATGGCACGCGGCCCCGCTGCCACACAATGATGAAAACTTTCTTTAGAGAAGTAATTTGTCTTGTAGAGCGGATTTTTCAAAGTGAGATGGAATTTAATCTCCTCACCACCTCAGGCGATCTCTGTCTGTCTGTCTCTCTCTCCATCTCTCGTTGCTCTCTCCCACTCTTTCCCCTCCTCATATCTGTCATTCTCATCCTCGCACAAAGGAAAACAGAACATACTTGAATGCTTCGCTGACATCTGTGTGAATAAACAGCTGCTGTGTGCATTAATCAAAAGAACTGGTAACATGAACTCACATTAAGGACAGATTAAAATTGGGCTCAGTGGTGAATTCATGGTGGGAGATATCATGCCATATGTTTATAGCACCAACAACATCATGGGCTGTAACCCTGTGTTGGTTTTGATACCAAAAGGCTTAAGGCAAAGCGGATTCTTCACCCCATAATACTCCAAGGTTTCTGTAGTTTACTTAGAATTTTTGTCACAGGTTTGCTTGTGTCCTCATACATAAATATACCTCCAAAGCCAGGCAATTTGTTGCTCCACACAATTCCAAACCAGATGTTAATTGCGCTGCCCGCTAATTCCTATTGATATTTAGAGATTACGACTATTTGAATGGTGCAGTCAGCAATTCTAAAGATCTTTATTTAAATATAATATATTTCTATATTATCTCTTGGACAACAGGGACAAGATGATGTTGAAGTTTAAAGGGAATATTGTGGAAAGCTGATTTCAAGAGTACACACTCTCACATATTCTCCCCACACTTTAAAGCTGCAATAATCTGTATTTTGGTAGCTGACATTGCTGTAATAGCTCAATGGCTCCTGGTGACAAACCCAAACCACCGACCTTGCAGTTCCCTTCAGCTCTACATAACTTTTGAATGTATCTTTCAACTCTTCGTTTTGGTTTTCCGGCCAGCAACTTAGCTGTTTCGGATGGCTCCCACTGCTCTCGTAAGCGTCGCTTTAAAATGCAGCTGGCAGCTGTCTTCAGAAAAAAGCGCCCTTTCTGCGACCTGTGCATACCAAACAAAGCAAACCGAAACAGTTAACGACTAGCTGTTGAACATAGTGCAGCATTTAGCAGCTAAAGAGCCAGATATTGTCCTCATGAGTTAGGGGACCCCCAAAACCATCAGTAAATGCAGGTTTAAAGGGGTACTCCAAAAAGTTAATGTTCTACCCAGCTTGTAAAAACAATTGTATAGCCTAATGTCACGCTTGACATTTAATGCCTTCTGTGGCTGTGTAGGAGAGTTTGTCAAGTTTGGGAAAATTACGCTGATGATGCCATCCTCCCGGGGGTTGTCTCAGCTTGGGCTCAGAGACTAGAAATTCATAACAGAAAGCCTAACTGGGAACATGGAGATTCAAAGAAGCTGCATTGTGCAGGCACGGAGGGTCTAATGAAAAGACGTTGCAGTTTGTACTCTGGGGAATGTGGGATTCAGTGATTTTCTTCCAAGGCTGACTTCTGGGGCTTGACAGAAAGTTACGAATATTTCAGCCTCTGTCGCAGCTGTTTTTGGCATTCGCTTTAAAATCTGTCTCTTGTGAGGCCTAGCACTTTATGTGCCACTTTAAACATGCTAAAAACAAACAAAAATATTCTATTCATATTCCTCTAACTTGCCTAAATTAGCTTTTAGCTAAGTTGGCTAAGATATTTTGTGATGTTGTATCACTCCATTAGCAGATCCTTTTTTTGTTGTGGCTTCAGCTTCATCTATTGTTGCTTTTTTTCACTGGCATTTTGTATTGCGATTTTAAAAGTATACAACTTTCCTCAGTCATCCAAAAGTGGAGCCTCCTCCACTCTTCTTCCATAGTTCTCTTCATGTCTCTCCTCTTCATTTAGATTCTATCCTTTTCATAATTATGTCATCCTATTTCAAACTTCTCTCTCTCTCTCTCTCTCTCTGCTCACAGCTCCTTTCACCAATGAGCAGTCAAGCCAACGGTGGGGTGGTGGCCCCTCAAGCTCGGACCAATCAGAGGACATTTTTGGATGATGTCATTTTGACCTTTACTTCACCAATGGCCTGGCTGCTGGTTGTGGCTCTGGTCATCACATGGACGGGAGTCGCCATCGTTCTCTTTGATCTGCTTGACTATAAAACTCTGGCAGGTAACAAGAGTCATGGTTGATTATTTCTTTTTATTTCTTTTGTTGATTATTTCTTGAAATATTTTAAGTAAAGCTTTATCAGCTTTACCTCACAACAATGATTACAATGTAATTATAATGTGCTTGTAATGTTTTGTTATACCTTTTGTTATACACTTTCCTTCAACTCATTGACACCCATTTTTCACAAATCATTCACACATTCATCTTTCATCCAAGCATTTTCAACAACCTCTCAGACATTTTTGAAGCAGACTTCAAAAGTGGATGTGCTCTGATGAAGGTCATCATTTTCAACAAGGTCCATGTGTCAAGTTAGGGGACAGAGACCATCTCATTCTTCCTTTCAACACGTTAGTAACAACAGAATGTCCCAACATCTGTGCTGCTTTAATGCAACACATGGTGTGCTGTGTTTCCCTTCACTTGACAGACAGACGTATTGAAAATGACACACTGTTGTCAGGAGTGCATTTTTCTCACACTCACTTGGTCACCTAGCCTCTAACGTTAATTAGTCCGCCAGTTGACAGCTTATGTACCAGTGTAGCGATACAGCTGTGTACATAGTGAGGTATGTCCGTCTCATTTTCACTTAAACGTATAACTTGTAGAATGGATTGAAAGGGCACTTCCTGGTGTTGACAAGCATAACGCATTCAAACGGCGTAACCAGTCTAATTAAAACATATAGTTATTTAAAGTAATAATTTCTCTGGCTTCAATGTTGTTGTTTTTTATTCTATACACTTTCTGTTCCTTCTCTACGGAAACTGAGAGAGGCTTTGCTTCCTCATACATTCTTAATCCTGTTATCTCTAGCTCATGACTTAACTGTATTGCGTGATCAAATTTCGTTTTCTGTGATCACACTTTAATTACTTCATTGTCTTGAGATAACAGAAAATTAATTTCCCTGATATCGCAACTACGTTACTGATTGATGAAATTAAATGCAGCAGTCAAGATCTCTCCTTCAAACATTTTCAGTTGTGCTTAAGACTGTGATTCACTGGCTCCATGATCAAGCTCGCAAGGCTCTGCACACCCATTAATTTAGGTAATGAGAAAAGTCTGATTGCAGCATAACAGGAGAAATCAAGAAAGAGCAATCGTGCCACACTCTGCCAATCAAAACACTGAAAAAAACAATGCAGCTGTGGTTATGTGATCATACTCCAGTTGTTATTATTATATTACCTTAAATGGAAAGCAAAAGTTTGACATTTTTGGGAATTACTGTGCACTTATTCACTCTCATATCTGTCTGTTAAACGTACGGCTACAATACAGCCAGAAGTTGGTTAGCTTAGCTTAGCATGAAGACTGAAAACAGAGGGAAACAGCTAGCCTTTCTCTTTCTGAACATACCTAAATTTGCCTAAGGGCTCTAATTGACATGTTATTTCTCGTTATTTATTTTGTACAAAAACCTAAGCTTAAAAACGACAATTTGCCATTTTACATTGGCTGTGAGCAGTAACTTCCTGGAGTCTGCGGGTTGCCCAGCAAATGGTCCCAGACAAAAGCCAAATTAGTCGAGCACATAACCCCTGGTAAAACAATGCATCGTCTTTTTCACAATTCATTTTCAGAACCAATTAAACAAATATATAACATGTTAAGTAGTGAGCTTTACAGGGGCTGGTACGGTAGGTGGATTTGCACAGAGACAGGCTAGCTGTTTTTAACCAGCTGCTGGCTGTCGCTTCATATTTAATGCACAGACTCTGCACCAAACTGAATATATGTATTCCCCGAATAATGTTAAATTCCCAAACTAAGGAACTGTAATTAGAATAATACTGTACATTTCAGCAGTCGCTTTGCTTATACTGCTACTGTTAAATTAGGGTCAATAGATTAGTGTCTATGTTAACACTCTCAAGGTAATCTTGTTCATTGCATTTAAAACATAGGATATTGATGTTGATGTGGAAATGAACATTTTTTCAGTTATACAATGAGACTTACAGAACTTATAATTATATAATTGTGCTTTAGCACAATAATACATTTTCCAATCCCTTGTATTGAATCTGTGTTGCTTTTATTACATTATCATTAAAATTTGTGTCATAGGTTGCAGTTTCACTTCAGCTCCAAGTATTTTCACTATCCTTGTTTGGTAATACGTTATTTTACAGGTCTGTAATTGTCATTTTCTAATAAATTACAATATTTTCTGGAAAGAATTGTGTAATTTGGTGATAATTTTGTAAAAGTTAGTGTTCAGTTGGTACACTTAATAACTAGCATGTCAGCTTAACATACAAAAATGTGAAATTTGTCAATATACTGTATGGAGAACATTTTCAATAATGAATTCTTTATTTTGGTTTAAATTAAGCTTTTCTTTCAAGAGCATTCCTACTTTCCCTACATTCAGTAATAAATTATATTGGTTTTCCAAAAACCTGGTGATGCTGGTGACTAGGACATTATTCAGGAATAATGGACGGGTAAGATTAAGCATTACCTTACAGTCACATAAGTGTAATGGTAAAGCATTAGTATGCAATGTAGTGATCCAAATAGACCTGACACATAAAGGTCAAACTGCCCTCCAAGCTTTCAACCACACAAAAGTAAAATCAGTCACTTTGATTTTGTCACAGGTTTGCAGTTTTTTTCCTATGATAATGACCTTTCTATCAATTCTACTCATTTCTGGTATCATAGCATATCTGGTCCTCACCACTCCCACAACTACCACACATCACCATGTATTTAGACTATCTTGCGTTGTAAGGATAGTCTTGCCTCATCCAACACACACTCATCTTTAACTCCTCTCCTCACTCTCCCCCCTCCTTCGCCCCCACCCCCACCTCTTCTCCATCCTCATGCTGTCAATCACCTGCCATCCCATCCAAAGAGTACACATCATACTGTGAAGACCCCGTGTGTTTATCTCCTGGTAAAAACAAAACACAACAAAACCGCTAACAGTTTGACTGCACTGCTTGCTTGCTAGAGTGTTGCCTGTGACAGACCAGAGAAAATCAAGATATACATGAGCCCTGTCTTCTAGTACATGCCCAGTATTTCAAATTATCTTTTTTTACCAGCAGGTGTTTACCAGCAGGTGTTTACCACCAGCTGTCTAAGCTAAACATCTGCAGTGACCCATGACACCTCTGATATGGGTGAAGCCACTGTGCTTGAATGTTTCTAAGAGCTAGTTTCTGCCGTAAGGGGGTCACGTCACACATTTGCTGAGGTTTCCATATATTCCCCTCTGAGAATGTGGACGTCTTTTACTATTTCATAACTTCAGTAGAAAATGTTTCTTAAAGAAAACTGCCTACAGCAATGTTCAGACTGTTCACACCTTCTTTCTATTTTCTCTGAACTGTGCCATTTACTCCCACATTCCTCTCAGGACTGTACATTGCAATAAGTTACCAAGCTAACAAGCTTGAACTTGATATAAAATTTATTAAAATTTACTTCAACCCCATCTAGTAATGCCAAATGTCCCCTAAAATACAAAATTGTCCCGCAATTGGAAACTAAAAGACATGTTCCTTATTGAACTGATACAGGATGCGCTTATATTCAGTATTCAGTAAGAGAAACAGAGAAAGCACAGTCCAGTGCTGAGATCTGGTGATTGGGAAGGTCACAGTAGGTGATTCACATAATTTTTATACCTGTGTGGAAACATCTGCATATGTTGTGTTTTATATGTTTATTTAAGTTTTTCTTTGTCCCCTGTCTGTGTACTCTCTATCCCTGTCCTTAGGTGTATGACATCTCAGTGTGTTTGCGTTACTTGTGTGGATTTGCACTTGTGTTTCCTCTGGACTTGCTAACAGTCCTCAATGACTAAGAAGCTGTGTGACACAAATGCTTAAAATAAACATCTATAGATGACTATTGTGTCTGATGACAACAGTAAATCTAAAGCCTGTTGGGGTGTCAAATCATTTGTGCTATTTTGCTGATTTATTTTCTCGTCACTACTGACATTGGAAAAATATGTTCAAGTTGATGTGGCTAACATGATAATCCAAGAAAACTTGGAGTACAGAGTCCCTCAATGAGACTGATTCATTTGTCGCCCATATTTCATGCAGACTTATCACTAAAAGCTATCTCCAAGTCAAAGACACATTCCTCCCAGGGCTAAGGATAGTTCCGAGCTGAGGAGGAAATGCACACGAGAAGCAAGTTTTGAAGTTATCTTCCATTTTCTAAAGCAAATATTTGCAAGTTGGACAATAACGAAAATGCTGGGTTTCATTTTTAATCACAAGCCTTTTCTCTGACCATGACATTTCAGTAAAGGCCACTGTGTGTAAATGAAATACAAGGAGACATTTCTGGACAATAAAGAAGAAATGCAATTCTTCCCGTCGTGAAAGAGCAGAGATTGAGTTTTGTGTGAGTGTGTGTAGACAGACAAAGTAGCATCATAAAAGCATACATATATAGAAATGGGGAGACACACGCACTTGCACAGACATAGTATATAGAAAGAAACAGCAATTCAGAGGAGATAAAGGCAGAGTATAGCAGGAAGAAAGACATTGCAGAGACTTCAGAGCAGGAGAGAAGGTGGATGAGACACAAAGAAGCAGCACTGCCAACAGTTTAGTCAGTAATTTTTTATCTTTCTTTCTCTGACTGAGAGGCAGAGGCAGAAAAGTAAGCAATTCCTAATATATGTAATTATTTTTGAAAAGGAAAACAGTTTAGATTGAGACAGATGGTAATTTTATAACCATACAGTGTTACTGATGCAGGTGTTAAACTGTAAAAACATTAGTATGTCACTCTCCAATGCAACGTCAGTGTCACACCTGTAAATAAAGAAAGAAAGACAGTAAAAAGGAAAGAAAGGAAGGAAGGGGAGAGGATGCAAATAAGGAGGATTCAAAATAAAGACAAAAGAAACAAAGCTCTGTATCATTTAGCTTTCCTTATCCTGTTACTTTATGCGCTTTTCTTTTGAGAGATTTTTCAGAGCCCCATGGGTTTCTTATTTTTTATCTCTGCAGCACAAATTGTATTTTTATTCTCTTTTCTTTGTGTTTATCATTTTGATGTGTCTGCTAAACTACACAAAACTAAAAAACAAAGGCAGAAAGGTGGACAGAAGAAGAAAAGAGACGCAGGATGAGAACATGAAAGCAAGACTGTGACAGAAAATAAATTTAAAGAAAGGAGAGAGAAGAAAGGAAAAACAGAATGAGTTAGAAAGACAGAGAAAGAAAGAAACACAGAGGGAAGAAAGGTGAAGTGGAAGAGAAACTGAATGAATAAGTAAAGGCAATAAAAGGACAACAGAGAGTCTGGGGTGCCAATCATAGAAATGTCAGCGAATTAATCAGTTGTTTATGGGGATCCATTATACGACTCCTGCACAGTGGGCAACAAACAGGCAGAAAGCTTCTTCCACCTGGGGAAGAGGGGAAAATAAAGAGATCCACAGAGAAAATCAAAACAATGCATTTAGCACTTTAGAGGCACAGACAGCAGGCGTTGGGACAAAGCTGTCGTGATTAGCACCGAAGGGTCAAAGTACAAAAAAGATGAAAATAATAATTGTTATTATTTTAGTGTAATTGACAAGCTGCATTGCTTTGAAATGCCCTCTGTGCAACATTTAGTACCAACTTATCACTTTTTCACTTGCTAGCAGTTGAACCCTGACATTACCTTTCTGTTGCAGTGTGCATTCAACACCTGAGGTCACTAACACGAGTCTTTTAAGAAGCGACATGTGGAAGAAGTCATCCAACCCCCCCCCCCCAATACAACAATGATGTATCAGTTATTGTAATACCACCCCCTCATAAGTCACCCTTTATAAAAGGTTTATAAGTTGTAGCTTTAAGCCTTATTACAGTTAATAAAGTAGTTATAAGCCATTAACAGGCAGAATGCTTGTGATGCCAGTTTGTTAAATAATTTGTTAAAAAATCTCCATATCTGATTTTTTTTGTTGCATGTTTCTTGCCGTGTTCTCATTCAGCATGTCCTCTGCATCGTGAAAAATAAGTCCTATCATGTTCTGAAAGATGAAGATGTTTCTCCCTTTACACCATGCTGTCTCTGCCCCCTCAGGTCTCCCTCCTCCTTCTGCCATCGCTAAGAGAGGTGTGAAGGCTAGAGGCAAGCAGAACTAAATATATATACAGTATATACATGCTAATGAATAACACTACCTTTGTGAAGCTTCTCATGTTCATTTTATGTTAAAACTTTTTTCTCGTATAAATATCCCACTTTACTCTGCTTTACAAGATTTTGTTCTGTTCTATTCCATTGCTCTTGTCCTTTACTCTATATTCTACTTAGGTGGCTTTCGTCCAATAAAATCAAGCCCTGCTGGGGTCCCTGGCGACGTCGCGGCTCGGGAGAGCACTGATTGGTTGGAGATGGTATGGACTTTTGCAGCCAGTTTGGTAGCTCCTGATGATGAGGAGGAAGGTATTCACCAGCTAACTGACACCCTCACATGTAAGAAAACATCACCTCACACTAATCTACCACTTAATGACAGAGATGATTAATAACTAATATCGTGGATAAGACGCCACCCCGCCTGACATCTTATTCAGGCCACTGCATTTACCGGTGCCAGATCATGAGTGAAATATTTTAATATTCTGAATATAGAAGGACTGTTAATCGGCATGTAAATCCTGTGTCAAAATCAGATGTGTTTGGCTCAAATGCTCGCTATGATAATCCGGACTGTGCAGATAATAGTAATGACGGAGTTGTCAGAACATAATCACCCGCTGACTAAGAGAGTTATAATGAACATGATGCCCTTTACTCTGCTAAATAGTGCAAATTCATTAGGCATAAAATAAACTTACATCTTATCTTCTTTATTCAATAATCAGAATCAATGGCCCATTAAAGATGCTGAATTAACTGTAGTGAAAACTTGTGTATCTCTCAGTACTTCAACAACACTCTCATTCAGACTGATGAGTAGCAGAAGGATATGCTAGTCAGAGTCATTGTACCATGAACGTAAGGAGCAGTTCATTTGGGCCAAAACAACAGCAGACTGACAGAAGAATAAGAAAAAATAATGCCTTTGGTGCAGGCAGCCTAATATTGCTTGCTAAGCAGTCAAGAAAGTGCAGTTTTTTATTTGCATGTAAAGAGTCATTTTTCTGTGAGATATACAATCAGTATTTTCATTTTTCCTCCCCTAATATATAAACCTGCAATAACAGGGACTGATGCAACACCTCATTTTCTCTTCTTGTCGTCCAGCTTTCCACTCCGAGGAGCCCTGAACAACAGGATTGCGGTGAGAGGACAAGAATGGACAAGTATGAAGAGCTGGAGCGAGGAAGAAAAGGCAAAAAGAGACGAGCGACTGCCTGAAATGGAAGAGAAGATGTAAAGAAACAGAAGGAGGAAGAGGATGTACAGTTATCGCACTTGTGTTTCTTTCTGTCTGTTTGTTGGAATTTGGAACTGGAATTTGATGAATAAAAACTGCCAAATTCCTGGCTTGGGTTTCTTTTCTGAGTATAATTAAAACGCTGTTATAGTCTTTCCATATCTGCAATCTGCACACTGTTTTCTGGATTTGCTCTAAAAAAGTAAAATATGCGTGAGCCTATTTGTGAAAAAAGAACCCATCTTTTGTATCTTATGTAATTACAGTGTAATTATACAAGATTACAACATTCCTCTAAATTTGGCATACTTTAAACAAGCTGCATCCTACATTACTATGGAACCCCGAAATGGACAAAATGTGGTGAAAGATTATTATTAACTGTAAGTGAATAAATGAATACATCAGCAAATACTATTCTTAGTTACATAATTAAAATGGAATATATTAAAGACATAGAGCTTTATATCATCTATTTTTCTTGAGAACCAATTACATGATAAAACAAATTAGAAATTAATTTATATTAGTCTTCTTTTTATCTCTATCACTCATTCACTTTCCTTGGGGTTTTTGACACACATTTAATTTTACAGGACATAAATTCCCTATTTTCCCCATGCATTATTTCACATTTTCCTTACCTCATTTCACATTTTCCTAACGGGAAAAGAAAAATCTTTTGTATTTGTTTTTACACATATTATTTGCTCAAAATGTCATTTTAATAATTTGTACATATTAACAAACAGTATTATTGATTGGTGTATTCAGTTATATTTTTGTTTGATAACCTTTCACTGTATATTCAGGGCTCCATACACTACACTAAACCATTTCAAGAGGAATGCTTTAATGTAATCCCAACTCTAACTATCAATTTAACGAAGTCGTCACTCTAAAAGATCAGTTGTTAGCAGGTTTTTGTCCCTCTACACATGATTTGACAAAGCAAACTGCATTGTCCTCCATTTCCCTTTCCAGTCACCTCTCCAGTCTTTCGATCAGTCTGCGCAGAAGGTGATCTGAGTTTGAGATGACCAATGACCAAACTCCCCAAGTCGACACTGGGCAAGTGAGGAGGTATGTCAACAGCAAAGATGAACAGTTGTGCCAGGAGGAACTAACTTCTTGATGGAAGAGATAAGGATCAACATGGCAGTAGTGGGCCCCTCCAGAATCAGACTGTGTGAATACAACATGGCACTTGAACATTGGAAGTAGACGATAGTGGACGACAGAGAGAAAACACCAAACTGCAAATTAATAATTCTTCTTGAGATAAAGAGGGCAGTATGACCCACAGTTAAAAGAAAGCAGCTCCAAATAAAGGAGGTTAGAAAATAAGATATATGGACTGTAAGCCAGAGCATGAGATCACCAAGTAAGATATATGAATATCTCACATAACCTCAGCAATTCAATAAAACAACCAGAGCAAGACCAGCATAAGAAATATTATGAAGGTTTTAAATAATGAGAGGGGGAAGCACTGCATTTTAAAACACTGTTATGACTGTTGAAATACAATTGCAAAATAGATTTATACTTATTTTTGTAGCATGCAAAAGACAGAAAAGCAGAGTCCACAGTGCAAGGATGAGTAAAGTATTGTAAATACTCCATTACTAGAAAATGTTCTGTATGAAACATTTTACTTAAAAGTACAAAAGAATGGTCCCTGTTGGCGTTCTATCATTATCAAATTATTGGATCATATTTATTGATGCATTTGCAACATGTAAGCAGTACTTTGCTGTTGTATTTTATCTACTTTGTGGACTTTTGGCTTGGTTCCTCTTACCATTGCATCATATTTTATAAACTTGTCAAATGTTTTCTTATGATTTAAATACTTGTCCTCAGTCAGTCCCTCTAGGATTTTGTGATGTCGCGATCGCAACTTCAACAAATCCCTGTGAATTCAGCGCGACTTGCAATTTTGACCAATCATCACAAATTTGACCTATCATCTCCGTTTCCCGCAAAACTGCATATGTCAGATTCTCACTTCCTTGTTTACAAGACACAGCACCGTTTCACATTTGCTTACAAAGACAGTATTCAGATCTTTAAACTGTCTTGCAAAACACACAGTAACATCAAAGTAAACACTTTTCCACCGCAAAACATACACAATGTCACTGCAAATAAATGCCCAAGAAAATCTTAACCTTCATCGTAATTTTTTAGAAAAGCTGCAGCAAAATCAAACATTTTGCGCAGCAACAATTCCAAAAAAAGGCCAGCGAAATCTTGGAGGGACTGCCCAGTGCTGGAGACGAGAAAACTTCTTCTCAACATTAAAACCTCCTTTCCAGAGCACTTCAGTGTGAACGACACAGCAGACAGACAGCAAGACAGTTATCCCTCCTCATTCATGTCATATATCTGTCTGTCTGCTTGTTGTCTACACCTGCAAATGGAAACATATGTTCAATTTACAAAATGTAAATAGGATCTGTTAAGGTTTAATTATAATTAGTCCAGCTTGCAATCGGTTTTGTTGGAATGTGTTTCTGCCGTAATGAAATTGTCCAGAAATTAAACTGAAATCATAATGAAATCATAACTTTATTACAGCTGTAAGGGAGCTTTAACCACATTTTAGTGAACATATCAGTGTAGCAGCAAATCTCTAGGGAGTCGATTCTGTAAATTACATTATCCTCTATTCAGACTCCGCTTTGTAAGATATTATAATAGAATCATGTCAGTCATTTTGTCTTCTTTGAGGACATGTCACTTGTCTCATGATGTAATGGCCTGCTTATGAGATGTAAAAGTCAAGTTAAAACATAAACCTTAGAACAAGTGTAGATTTATTTGTTTTCTTGATGCAGCCTGAATGGTCTGATAACATGACTGAAAACCTCTTCAAAAATATACAGCAGCTCAGATTTTAAGATGAAATCACTTTACATGAGCTCATTTGTCACCTGTGGTGATGTTAATGAAAAGGGCCTTTGATTTGTCAAAGCAAACACTCTCCAACACACACTTACACACAACACCATCTCATCACAGTTTTAACTAAATGAACAGCAAATGAACACCACTTCCACTCTGGTAATGGTTTGTTTGGGGACTGAACAGCATCCAGACGATGATTTAGCAGAGTTATAGGAAAAAGTAATGATCAATCTTTACACTTTTTAACAAAGGGATGTAGTTTGGGAAATGTGATTTAATTTCCATCTGTAAATCTGTAAAGGGGCTTTCACACCCCCGTGCAGTAACTTGCCGCTTCATTTCAATGAGGGGAAGCGGTTTCGATCAAGGCGGTAATGGTATGAAGTGGTTGATGCTTATGTGAATGCGCACAGATTTTTCTCTGCTGCCCAAAGTTCACTGTGCTGAACTTTGGCGGTAACCGTTTGGCTTTGGCCAATCAAAGAGATGGGGGTGGGCCTCGCATTTATTCTTATTTACAGTTTTTCTCAATTGCTTAAACACTATAACCGGGCTATTGAATTAAAATTTCTCCATTAATAACTCCATTTTTCAAAAACAACACCCATTTCTCTAAACTCTACACACAAATCCATCCTTTCATTTCTCATTGCCTACACCATTGAGAAAGCACTAACATTCAGTTTTGTTCACTCAAGTCAGCACAGGTTGAGCGCAGCTTCAGTAGATAGATAAAAGGGTCAGAGTCAGTTCATTCAGTTTTGGAACAATGGATCCAGAGAAATCTGAAGGAGGAGGTGCAGAACACCAGAGAGGAGGAAGAGGAAGAAGAGGAGGAGGAGGAAACACAGTATGGGGAGGAGTAAGAGGTGAAGGAAGAGGAACAGTAGGAGTTGGAGGAGGAGATGTGATAGGAGGAAGATGAGGAGGCGGAGCAGGAGGTAGAGGGAGCAGGAGTGGGGAGGAGGAGAAGAAGTAGGTGGAGGAGGTAGAGGGAGGAGGAGTGGGGAGGAGGAGGAGGAGAAGAAGTAGGCAGAGGAGGTAGAGGGAGGAGGAGTGGGGAGGAGGAGGAGGAGAAGAAGTAGGCGGAGGAGGTAGAGGGAGCAGGAGTGGGGAGGAGGAGAAGAAGTAGGTGGAGGAGGTAGAGGGAGGAGGAGGAGGTGAAGACGTAGGTGGAGGAGGTAGAGGGAGCAGGAGTGGGGAGGAGGAGAAGAAGTAGGTGGAGGAGGTAGAGGGAGGAGGAGTGGGGAGGAGGAGGAGGAGAAGAAGTAGGCGGAGGAGGTAGAGGGAGCAGGAGTGGGGAGGAGGAGAAGAAGTAGGTGGAGGAGGTAGAGGGAGGAGGAGGAGGTGAAGACATAGGTGGAGGAGGTAGAGGGAGCAGAAGTGGGGAGGAGGAGAAGAAGTAGGTGGAGGAGGTAGAGGGAGGAGGAGTGGGGAGGAGGAGGAGGAGGAGTAGGGGAGGAGGTAGAGGGGAGGAGTGGGGAGGAGGAGAAGAAGTAGGTGGAGGAGGGAGGAGGAGGAGGTGAAGACGTAGGTGGAGGTAGAGGAGCAGGAGTGGGGAGGAGGAGGAGGGTGAAGAAGTAGGTGGAGGAGGTAGAGGGAGGAGGAGTGGGGAGGAGGAGGAGGTGAAGAAGTGGGGAGGAGGAGGAGGTGAAGACGTAGGTGGAGGAGGTAGAGGAGCAGGAGTGGGGAGGAGGAGGAGGTGAAGACGTAGGTGGAGGAAGTAGAGGGAGGAGGAGTGGGGAGGAGGAGGAGGTGAAGAAGTAGGTGGAGGAGGATGGAGAGAGGGAGGAGGAGTGGAGGAGGAGTGAGGAGGAGGAAGAAGTAGGTGTAGGTGGAGGAGGAGTAGGGAGGAGGTGGAGAACAAGAATCTCTGACCTATCCCAGACCAGGACGCTGGGGCAGAATAATTTGTTGTTTGGTGTGATGTACTGTACAGTAACAATAAGGAATAAAAAAATGTGTGCAAATGTGAAAATGTTCACATCTGTTATTTCTTTAGTGTTCATCATCTGAAAAGGTTTTTGAAGGGGAGAACCACAAGCAACATTAGTAATAACCAGTTTTTGTACTATTGTTTTGAATTTATCTCACCAGTGTATAAAACTGTGTTGTAATGTGTGTGTTTTTGAGGGCTTGTGTGTCACGTCTGAAGGCAAAGTTTGGTTTTTCAGCAAGATTGAATGATTTTGAGTG